AGCATGACATGGTGTCGGCAAACTGTTTGGCCCGGTTCACACGTGCGTCGTTTTGATGTGTCGGCGCGCGCGAGCTGTACGACACATTTTTCAAGCGTGTAAACATGCCCGCCACCGCCGCGCGGCGCCTTGCGTCGTTTTTTACCTTCGCCAAGAAGGTTATGTTTTCAGGGGCGTTCGTGTATGTGTGTGTGTGTGTGTGTGTGTGTGTGTCTGTAAACACGATAACTTGAGAAGGCCTTGATGGATTGTCTTGATACTTGGTAGGTGGGTAGGTCTTGATGAGACCTCAAAATGATTAGATTTTGGACCCCCTAGCGGCTTGTTATGGTACTGCAGCTGAACTTCCAGTTTTGATATCTCTTGATCTAGACATGCTATGGTGATGAAATTTGGATGGTAGATAGCTCTTGTGATGGGGAAGAAGTGACGTGAGTTTGGGCCCCCTAGCGGCTTGCTCTGGAACTGCAGGGATATATTCTTGAAAATATTCAAAAGGGGATAACTCAAGAACCAGTTGACGGATCGTCGTAATTTTCGGTATGTAGGTAGCTTACGTGATCCTTAATATAATTATGTGACAATTATGCAAATATGGATGCAATTTGCATAATTAATGGGGAAATTCTATAAATCAGCTGTATTCCATGATAGGACAATTGAAGCTTGTGACATTGACAACGAGAGAAACACAGGAAGATATTGATTATGTTAATAATGACTTAATTTGCATAATTAATGAGAAATTTTAAAATTATGTAATGATAACTGCCTGGAATTTCATACTTGTGGTATTTGAAAGTTAAATTGAGGTGAACATCATTAAACATAATTTATTCAAATCAGGGCCTCATTTGCATAATTTATTAGGAAATGTTAGAATGCATTGTTTGTTAACATAAGACTGTCTTTTGGTTGAGATTATGATAAAATGATATAATCAACCCTCCAGACTAAATTTTTAGCTTAGGAGCGCATGCGCTCCTAGCCTCAAAAAGTTAGGCGCGCAGGCAAACATTTGGGCGCGCAAAGAAAAAATCTGGTCGCGCAAAGTACTTTTTAATTTACAAGCCAAGAGATTGATGTACCTAAACAGACAATTAATTATATAATTTTTTCATTATCATAGAAACAAAATCAAAATTCACCATTTGTACTAAAAGAATTGTGATAAATGAAAGACCAAACAATGATTTTACAAGTAACTGTCTTTAATGTGTTCAAAGTCACTTCATCTCAGTCGTTAGGCCAGGCTGACTGATATGTCGGTCTCCTAGGCCTCTGGAGGGTTAGACATGTTTTCTAAAATCCACTTGCCTGGTCATTTTCACTTGCCCGAACCAACTTTTCACTTGCGCGAAATATAAATGACATATATCTATGCATTTATCATTGCAACAATGAAATCCTTAATTAAAAAAAACACTTAAATGTTTTTAGGCAATAATACACTGAGTCATTCATGATCTAACGGTTAATAATATTAACATTGCTACTCAAACCATTTCGTTAAAGGTACAGATTTTCCGCAACAATGAAGACAATGTAATGATTCAATGTTCTTTATTTCTCAACTTTTCAGGTAACACTACATGTCTGAAGTAGTTTCATTGACTAGAAAAATAATTAAATAAAAAATAAAATACAGACAAAAAAAGCTCATGGAAAAGGACAGAGTAGAAAACATAAAAGGAGAAGAATGAATAAAAATAGGCTTCATTTGGAATTGCCTACTAGTATAATTATTTAATAATATAACAAGCTTCACAAATGTCTAAATACTTTGCTATTAATATCAATTATTTCTTCAACTGTATCAAAACAATCTACAACCTAGTTTC